TAGTTCTTTGATTAGACGATAGTAAAATATATTCCATTAAAGTCACTATAAAGAAGCTATTTATAAACATATGTTGAAGCTATTTGAGCCAGTGTACTAGAGTACTTTTACTCTTTCTTAGCTCGAGGTATTTTCAAAACCCCTCTCTACGCCTTGACTGGATTATTGTTTATCACTTCATCAGACTAAACAATAATTGACCTCAGATCTGCATGCCTCCCCGAGGAGCCTGTAACCATTTTGAGATTTGATAACGCGGTGTTGGTAAATCTGTCAGTTTTCGCAAATAATTTCAGGGTTCTATCCTTTATGTATTTTTTGATCGAATCAATCTTGTACTTTAGTAACATATGGTATGTGAGGTACGGCAGGACATCACACGAGTGTGTTTAGCATCTAGGTCCGCTCAACAGACCTACAAATTCTCAATAGAATAGAATAGAATTGAAATAAAGAGAGTACCGTCTTCAAACGGAGTGGAGCAGTAGTAGCTGTTTTCAATATTTTGTAATATTGATATATAAATACTAATAATTTATAATGCAGATTTTATAATATTAATATTTAATAGTTTCGATTTATTTAGTTTATATTTACTTTCTGTTAAAAACTACTTATGTTAAGAGAAACTTTAATTATAAGAAACTCATTTCATTGTTCATGATTTTAAGCTTAAATAATAGGTTTAATGAAATCACTACAATTGTATCAAATTAAACAATTCTACTTAAAGTTTTTCACTTTAATACGAACCAACGACGGACGTAACTTCTGTAAAGAAATGCACAGATTAAAGCTTGTCTGGTACCTGCACATTCTTGTCTGAAAATTATCTCCAACAAAAAGTTATGTTATTTTTATGTTTTTGAAGTTTTGAAAAATTTCATTTAAAACATCCTTAAATTATTCATTCACTGCAAAATCTGAACGATAAATATCGAAGTAAATGAAATATGAAGGTAACTTTTGAACTGTAAAGCATTTGAGTACATCAACATTAGGTCATCGGAAGCAAGTTGTTAAAATTACAATGAACTTCCACTGCAAATTCAATACCAATGACAATACAAACAACATCATATGAAATACATGCACTCGTATTTTTATATCTAAAAACATTTACAAATAAACTAATTTTTACAGTATTTCTTCTATAACCACAGGAGGCTGTGGTAATTGCAGTCGAGACCAGACATACAGTCTGTGTTAAATCGAAATGAAATTGACCATTAATGTACGAATAGAAATTCGATAATGGAGCTTACCTTGTCAGGCGAGCGCATTTTAACACACAAACACAGAACGAAAGCATGTACATTATTAGAAGCAAGCACAGAAACCACATTCAGAGACCCTTACGCCATATTCCTAAACTGCTCCACAACGGCTTACGTCCATTTTTATTAAAACGAAATAAAACAACATGGTTACAAACAATGGTAAAACACATAACTACATTGCTTTTCCAATCTACACAACCACACAGTCACAGCTGTAGACACAGATACATACACTGACACTGACACAAATGAACAAGCACATCAGCATATGGGTACGTATAGATACAGATACGGATGCTAGCACAAATGTTCCAATAACAAATAAATCGTAAACAATTCCTTCTCGGTTAGCGGTCAACGACGCGACGTTTGTTTGCAAACAAACAAACACTGATTGCAAACACTGACCAAATTCAGTTTAGACTCCATTCTGTATCTAACCTTTAGCTCCCTTTTACTCGGCCCCTGTCTTGTTGTTGGCCCGATGTGCCAAAAACCAAAAGTTCATAAACGAACTATGGTCATTTCCGAGTACAATCGCCACTGCTCCATGTGAGAAATGACTAAATAAAAACTTAAATGTGGGCAACGTTAAAGGTAAACAACGGTTAGGAAAGGCGTTGTTAATTTCGTATTGACTTGTTCAATTGTCAATTACGAACGTTTATTGCAATTTACAAATGTTTTTGTCTGTTTCTGATGTATCCGTAAATGATTGAAATACACAACGAAAAACTGAATGAATTCAATTCAATTCAATCGGATTGCTTTGAAATTATTTGATTTATTTGGTATGCCGATGAGTTCTAAACGAGAAACAACCTCATAACCTTTTGCGTATTTAGGAAAATGAAGTTTTTTTCTTTCAAGTTTTACAACCACAAAAAGTTTATTGAATAGTTGAATATAAAGGTTTTTAAAATTTATAGTTAATTTAATGATACTATATTAAGAAGTTTCACAGAAAATCAGGAAACCATAGACAAGACATCTTATTATTCTAATCACTTGAATTTTTATAAGTTCTAATTTAGTGATATGGACATGCGAAGAGAAAAAAAGGTGCTCAGTAGCCTACAACTGCATTGAGTTTTATCACTTAAGAAGGTCTACTAAACAATAATCTGAAAAGCCTATAATTACAGCTCATTTCACCATTAATGTGCTCTAGTAATTGGTATGTGATATGTAAGTAGATACATTTTTGAATTAAAAATTATTTACAGTTCAATGCTTTAAGAAATAGTTACACAAAAGCTTCATCTCAGTAGTATCTCCCTCGACTTATTTTCTAAAATATGGAATCTATAAAAAAAAACTACTGGTAAAGGAGAAAAAAAATTTTATATGTACAATATAAGAATAAAGTGCCAGATTTTTAATAAAAATCATTTATTTACGAAAGTATCCATTTTAATTATTTATTTTTTATTATTAACTATTATTCTTTCAATTTAATAATCAGTAATATATAAAGAATTTTTGTTGTTGTAGTTCACTACTTTCTAAACCTCTCCACCATTATTGAATACTTAATGTTTTAAACCATTATAATTTAACAAAAACAACTAGTCAAAACCAAAGTACTTTCAAAAAAACAGTCAAAACATAAAGACATTAAAAATTAATGTAACATAAGAAAGTGCTAATTAACAGCATTAAAAAAAACGAAAAAAACGAAAAACTTAGTACAAAATGTAAATAAAAAACAAATAGTTTGAGAAGAAATGCTTGTCACTTTTCTAACTCAGTCCTTCTGAATTCAGCCAAAATTACTTGACATAGTTCTAGCCATACTCCTCAAATCTTCGTAATATCTATCCCTTTACCTCGATGAGTAAGACTCTGATCCCTCTGGTGACCTCGGTCACAGACTATACCGCTAGTACCCCCACGCTTGTTTAATAACCCTTCCCCCTTCACTAACACCCAATTTCCCTACTTTACGTCAATGCTTTCTAGTTTTGATGAACCTAGATATTAAGCCTCTTGCTCTAATCTCTCTCTTGATTACTGGAATGGGGGTGAATCCACTGCATGTGGCTGCAATCCTCCATACTCATGGAGGTTTTAATGGGGTTTAAGTCGCACACTGTGGCTTTCGATGCTTTCCACCTACCGCAACAAAAAAAAAAACAAAACAAAAAAAGACAATGCCTTAAATATAAATCTTATTATATCTTCTTATATTATATTATCCTTATTATAAATCATCTTATTATATATCAATCTGCTATACCGATTCTGGATTCCTCAAGTTCAAATGCGATTCTTTTAGCATTTTGCTTGCTAAACTAACACTTGGTTATTACTGATATTTTAAACTCAAATTTTTCTGATCAAATACGTTTTGAATTATATGTTTAATTTAAACTTTAGAATTAAATAATATGTGTGATCTATCAAATAAACATAAAATTATATTATCAAAACAAATCTAAATTAAAACCATAGTGTAAACAGTGACAATACTTTCGGCAAAAACATTTCGGCATATTTCGGTATCTTTCAAATTTAATTTCAAAAATATGCACTAAAATTTATATAAAAGTTTCCGTAAGTATTACTGATTTAATTGGTTAAATTATTATTTGAGATGCATAATGTATTATAATAAATTATGCACAGGGCCTCCCAATAAAATCAAGAAGTGCTACCTACCAAGATTACACCATTATATATATTAATTAATTTTTGAAAAGGGAGAGAACTGACACTTGGTATTTCAAGTCATTCAAAGGGCTTTAGTGAAACATAAGTAACGGTAGTACAGAGCAGAAGCTGAATGTTCCATACCGAGGTAATTGATCTTAGTTTAAAGTTTTCTTTTAATAGATCTTAATATTATATTACATTTTTTATATTACATATATTGCTACGTCTTCTCTCTTTTACAATATATTTACAGCATAAATTCAAAATTTTAATAGTCATACAGTCAGTGTAAAGCTAGTTTTACCATTTACATATAACGAAAGATACGTACAGAGATCTTATGTTTTAAATACTTGCATCCTACTAAACTATTAGTGAAAAGATAATGGATCCTAATGACTTAGATGAGAGTTCTACCCTTCTGATTGATCCTGACGAAGAGAATCAAAGTGAGCTTATTGAAAACTTAGAAAATGAAGCTTTACCTTGGGAAACTGAAAGTGAATCTGACCCTGATAACACTTACATTAGTCCTTCACGTCCTTCTGGTCTTCTACGTATTAACCGTACCAGTGGTTTACCTGAACGTCCAATTAATGATTTAATTGCATTGCGAAGAAAATATTTTGAACAAGTAATGCGTGAAGTTATGGAAAGTGAAAAGGCAGAATTAAAGAAAAAAAAATTAATTGAAAGAGAAGAGAAGGACAAATATTGCGATAATACACAGAGTATGGGTAGGAAGGTCTTTATCGAAATTATTAAAGCACAACCATTAGTTGAAAACGAAATAAATCCTTCAGTATTAGCACAAAAAAATGCAATTGGTGGTTGTTTATGTAAAATGAATAAATTACTTTGTGCACAGTCAGATAATGAATGCACCTCAGAAGATGATTGGACTGACTCAGACTAATTTTCAAATTAAACAAAAATATTT